TCTCCAGTAGCTCCTCATCTTTCTTGAATTTGGGAGCCCAGAACTGGACACAGTACTCCAGATGAGGCCTCACTAGGGCAGTGTAGAGGGGAAGAACCTCCCTTGACCTATTGGCCACACTCCTCTTGATGCATCCCAGAATGCCATTGGCCTTGGCAGCCAGGGCACACTGTTGGCTCATGGTCAACCTGTCATCCACCAGGACACCCAGGTCCCTCCCCGCAGAGCTGCTCTACAGCAGGTCCACCCCAAGCCTGTACTGATGCATGGGGTTGTTCCTCCCCATGTGCAGGACCCTGCAAATTAAGGACCTTGCCAGATTTCAGTGATTAGGTTTAAAAGAATGCTTCATGAGAAGTGGCCTACCCTCATTCACTTATGTGTGTATGTGTATGGGTGCTTGCTCTCCCCTAAACAGACATGTAGTGTGTTTCCAGAATAAAAGGTGCCTTTTGACTTCTCTGTCTCTCCTCTATCAAAAAATGAAAGGTACATTTCTGCTCTGTTTATCAGAAGTACTAAGAGATACCTTTGGATACTGCCACATCAGGATAAAAATACATATGTAAATATATATATATTTTTTTTTTTACCTCTAGACTTTTTCTTCAAACATAATTTCCATATTTTTTATAAAGCAGGGCAGGTATTATCTCCATTTTACAGGTGTGGAAAAAGAGGTTTAATGTAGGTCTTGCAATAAATCAGTGATAGAGTTGGAAGCAGAACTTTGATATTTTGCCTTCCAGACATTTGTAGGATTGATTCATATGTGCATACTTTGTGGCAGAGGATTTTCTAAAAGCTATTTCAATTTCTTTTAACTTAAACCCCACAAAAGAGACAGAAACTGAAGGAAGCAAACCCCATTCTTTATGGAATGCCACATGAAAGTAATTAATGGGTTTTGTTTTGTTTTTGTTTACAAGTATGATGCTCTAATGGAAAAAAATGTTATGCTCTTAAAAGCAGGCTTATAGCAAAAATGGAAATCAAACAAAAACAGTAACATGGAAATTGTATAAAAAATGTATATAAAGTATTTTGTAGTTAAGTTGCCAGCATCTTGTGTTCTCTACATAGTGCAGATGTGAATTCCTCCAATTAAAACCAATGGATCTTCTTAAGTTGCATGAACACCCCTCAGATTCCCTACCCTCAAAGCCTCTTTCTCTAGGTATTGGCAGTTCAAAGGTTTATCTTATAGATTTTTGGTTCGTATATGTATTTTATATCTCTTCATAATTCCATATTCCTATTTTCATAAATTGTTCCACTTACAAAAATTCCTTTCTCTTCCTATATGTAAGGGCTTTGATAAATAGGTATTTTATTTTACACTTTTGTGCCTGTGTTATTTCAATGTCTTCTCTATGGGAAGGCCTTCTGGTCATTCAGATGTGTCAGTTTTTAGAACTGAGAGCACAGTAATTTGTAACACTAAAAAAAGAAAAGGGAGAGTGAAATTGCAATGTCGAAAAGAATTCCCGTATTGTTGTACAGTCTGGTAAGAACTGAACAAAAGCTTAGGGAAATGGTTCTTGAGACCTAAATGGCAGAGAAAATCATTCTTACGACAGACTGTTCCAGTTTTACTTCCTGTTCTGTTGCAGAGTGGTTCTGTCAAGAGAAGCAGCCCTTGGCCACTGAAACACCAGTGGGAATGGCAGCTGCAGGGAGCGGGGAAGAGGGCTTCGATGGCCAGGACCTAAGCCTCATGTACACAGAGTAGGATGTAGGTACAGTCAGAGACAGATTGTAATCCCTATGTTAAGATTTTCAAAACGTCCTGCTAGGAACTTGTTATATGGTTGCCAACTTCTTCAGTAACACTCATTTAGATGTTACTTCATCCATAGTCTCATCAATTTAACAATCATCTAAAATCAGAACCTTTAAGATATATTTCGAGAGTATGTAGTGTACACAATCAATATCATGAATGCTTATGAAGAACATGTGAACTTCAGTGCCCTTCTTCGTGTACTCCAAGGAGAAAGTAAATAGAATATGAGGAATCTTCCTGTCCCTTTGTCGTATGAGCGAGCAATCTTTCATCTGAGAATAATTGCCCTAAACAGGAAACACGTTTGTTTTTTTTTCTTGTTTTGGTTCAGTTTGGTTTTGGTTTTAAAGATGTGCTTTTCAGTTGTCTTTGCTTGCAGTTGTCTTTTGTCACCTGGGAATTACTACAGGTTTGACTCGGGTATAGTGACCTCAGGAGACTGGGAGATACCCAAGTCAGAGACGTGAACAGTGTGCTTCTGTAACCTTGTGACAGCAGTTTTTGCGTGAACCAGTCCATGCTGAACATACCTGCTTACTCCATGCGGTATCCAGATCTCTTCTTAAAGTTGGTAGTGCTAGTGACAAAATAGTACTGCCTCCATTCAGGAGGGATTTCATCCAGCAGGAGCACTTGTCTCCTCAGTCCTACCGTGCCAGACAAAGATGGAAGTATTCACAAAACGACCAACTGACCAGGTTCAGGAGGGTACGGAGTGTATCATCCAGGGCAGCCTGAAAGTTACAACCTGTTGAAAGTGAGGCCAAATAACGTTTCATGGAAAATTTGCAATGCGTGTTGCTTCTCTGCAATTAAAAGCAAGTATTTTTAGGAATATTGAGCACCCCCTTGCCCCACATCTAAAAGAGCAGGATCACTATACTGGTGTAATGGCCTGTGAGCATCTTGTGCTTGGACAAGTGAATCTCTGTTCGTATGACATCACAGGAAATGGTCGACTTTGACGTTGGAATGCAAAACCAGATAGGGGAAACAGGAGGGGAATGAGAATGAGATTAATGCTAAACATTTAAGTGTTCTAAGTAAAAGCTCATAGGGACGCCTGAGGAGATGGAGACATGCTTTCAGCATTGGCTTTTTCATACCAAGTCTCCCTGAAATGAGAGGTTCAGGTTTTTGTAGGACTGTCTTGGGAGTTTTGTCACTGCGGGAGCTACACTATTTATCCTGCAGATTACTCTGTTACGTTTCTTTCAGAAAGCGTAAGAACTCAAGTCTAGTCTGTATATAGAGATTATAATCCCATGTGGCACAGTAAAAGATTGCTTGTTCCCTCTCTTCCGCTTGCTTGAGATCAACTGTGTGATAAAAATAGGCAGCAGAATCCAATTAAATTAGGGAAGAAGGGTTAAAACACAGATAGACTAAGAAAACAGAAAGTAGAAAACTCTAAGATGATGAAATATTAATATATTACATGTTTTAGTTGAGCCTTGGAGCAAGATGGATCAAATATGAGCAGCCCACAAAAATCAACAGAAAATGAAATTCTGCTACATGACAGCAGGGGTACTTTTCTTTGATCTCAGCTATATTGACAGTACAATCGAACCATTATTTAAGAAAGGATAAAGCCCAGCAATATCATTTTACAGAGAGAAATGACTACCACAGAAAACCTGTCTACCAACCCGTGTGCACTATGTCACTCAAGTATTGAATATATGACAGGTGGGCATACAGGTGAGCAGAAATCTGTGAGGAATATTTGTGAGGAATTCTAATTTGAGTTGAGTAGTTGGCTGAAGATGACCCAAGGGGTTCTTCTATAATATGAAGAATTAATTGAAATGTGTATTTCTGTTATCTTTCCAATAACTGGATAGCTTCTTTTTTTCTAATGAAAGAAAATTTCCTGTTATAGGATATTAAACTCATCTCCACTGTCTTATGAATTTAATAATTTTCTGGCATATAAGCTTTATTTTTTTTTCAACAGATGGATAAAAACTCATAAATAAGGACACTTTTAGGTAGGGCTGTAGGATTTATAGGGCAGAAAATACCATGCTGCTCCCTACTGTGGCAGAAAGTCCCCATGATTCCTGCAGGTGTGCTGATAGCTGCCTGAGAACTGTAGTAAATTTCAAGTGGCGTTGCATTGGTCCTAGTCTAGGAACAGCTGAATGTACTGCAAAGACCCCAAATTAACTATTGATATACATGGAGTAGAAAAACAGTTATAGTTTATGCTAGTTAACAGTGAGTGGAGTTGTCTGCAGCCCTAAGATAATCATAGTCATATGAAAAAGACACTAGGCAGATTTAAGGATTGATGTTTGAAGTTTACAAAGTTAAGACATAGACTATATTAAAGTGGCTACTTTATACCCAACTTTTAACAGGTTCCCTGTTTAATACAAACATGTGAAACTCTTATTTAAGTGTAGATTAAAATAAGTATATGCTTACAGTATTAATTCTCCCCTTTAACAACAACTTCTAATAATCATATCATTGTGAAAAAGGTTCCATATCGAAAAGATTTTCAAACTTGAATTGTTCAGAGGGAATTAATTTATATATTCTTTGCAGAATCTTCCTTCAGCTGTTTTGTGTAACACCTCAAAGAAAGCAAAGGCAATTAATAATCATGTTTAATGTTAGGTTGCATGAAGGTTCAAATACAGTATTTGTGTAATTATTAGGATGTCCTAGGAGAAGAAGGAGACTTTGCACTGAGTGCTATCTTTTTTAGGAATTTCACTTTAAGGATTTATAACAACAATGTCAAAAAAGTTCTCTTAGACTCAGAATTAGGCATGGCAATTTAAGGAAAGGATACACTGTATTTGTGCATAACAAAAGCTGAGATGTGTTTGTAGATACAACTCTGCACCTTACTTTCAAAATGATAGTTTTGAGGAAACTAGTTAGAGAGAAATAACTAGAGAAGGATGGATGTCTCTTTAGTAGAATACACAAAATTTTAAAATGAAAACTTTCAAGTGGAGAGATGTGGCTTCAGTCTTTTTGTTCATTGCTGATTCTACAATGGCCATTGCACAGTTGGAAGCTTTTTCCACAGAAAATTACCCTGAAGAAAATTCTCAGTCTATCCCACTGTCCCTGCAGAAATTATACTAGGTCTACCTTGCAATTCTGTTTTTTGACATTGGAGTGATGGCTTCTGTTGTCCTTCATAGAAGGACACTTTTTTTTTCCTCTGGGTGTAAGGAGAAGATTACAGTCTTTGTATTCTTAGTAATCAGAGTTTATTACATGTTCCCACCCAAATTCATTGTGTAAAACTTTCCCCTCATCCTTCCTCACTTTGGAAACAGTTTTGACTTGTTTCTTAGGGGTTTTCTTTGTTACTCAACTTTTTGCCTCTTGCTGCTAAATGTGCTTATTGCTATTCCGTTTTCAGCCCCTGAGATCCCTCTGTGCTCTACTGCTGCCACTTCACCTACTGCCTTTCTTACCCTGTGCCCTGGTGCGAGGGTTACGGTGCGTCGCCAGGTGTCACCCCCACGCACACAAAGGTCGTCTTGTGCTCTCCTCGCCTTCCTGCCTCGCCACATCAGGTGATGTGTGGGTTTCAAAAGTAGAAGGCCCACCAAGATCGATGTTCTCTTCATCACCCTTTCCTCTGCATTTGGTGTTCACCAAGCCTCTAAATGTGATACATCTTCTGAGAGTTCTTTTATCCTTTTCCCTTATGAAAGAGTCTCTCTCCTTTTTTTCCTTTCAGGAGCCTCCTGTTTTTACCCTTTCTCTCCTGACAAAGGCTGTGTCTATTCCCTTGTTCTTGTTATCCTTAAAAGGAGCTCCTCCTGCCTTGCCATCTGCCCCACCTCATGTATCAAAATCCCCCCAGTTCTACATAAAAGGAGTGCAGCTTTTCATTGCTGCCTATCTGCAAAATTCCATTTCCTGCCTATTTTAGTTCTCAGTGCCGATTCTAAATTCCTCCCTTCTTCCAATTTTTCACTGATCAAGAAATCATTCTCTTAAATTCTGTGTTTCTTAGTAACTAGACTCCATGGAATGGATAATCAAGTGTATCACTCTTACCTGGAAAGCATTAATAGGTACCTTTATCAGCCATCTCTGTTGGGTGTGGATTTATACAGTTACAGGCGGTTAAACCTGTCACTCTTCTAATACATCTAGCTCTTCTTTTTTGTGCCTGTCCTTCCCTTTCTCTTTCCCAGGCCAGTAAATGATTCAGAGAACACTAAAGTTTTAGAAGTAGTTTTAATCATTACAGCCAATTATCATAGTGCTTACAGGTATGCCCGTAAATGTTATCAACTTGGTAAGTCTATAAAGACCTTACATTTTAAATATATTTTTTGTGTGGATGCCAACCAGCTGTGTCTTGTCAATACTATTGCTAAAAGTCTCATTGCATAATGTGGAACTGTGTGCTTCAATAGACAGTTCATGTAGAATTAAGAAGTGTAGAAGTTAAGGTCTCCATGAACTGAGCAGGCTGTCACCTAGAATGAGTGAAAGTAACTTCTGTTCATAAGAAAAAGCCACGTAACAAGCTGTTGCTATACACAAAGTGTGGGGAACCTGCAAACTTTTTTTTTGACATTTTTCTAACTTTCAGAACAGTGAGGCCAGCCAAAGGAAAGCCCAAGAGATGTATATTTGCTTCAGATTTCTGAAAAACAAACCGTTTGTTCTCCAGCTGAGAGCCCATTGCTAAAACCTTTAATCATGCAAATAAATGTCATACTAGTGACAGTAGTACCACTGAAGCTCGTTAAAATCCTATTGGAAGACCTGAAGGGCTCCTTTCCTTGATGTGTCATCCCATGCATTTTTAAAGCAACATGCAGGGATTCATCTGTGTGCAATTCTGACTGATTTTAATGGAATGTAAAGATGTGACATCTGTGACAGCTCTGAGTCCACTTTTATAAAGAAGCAAAAGAGGGTTTCCACTAATACAGATAGGCATGGCTTTACCACAGAAGTATTAAGAGATACGGATATAATTTAATTTTCATGAATGATGAAGTAAATATGTGTGGGGATGTTCAAGCTGGCTTGTATTCTAAGCCAGATGTCTTTGGCAGTTACAAGCAGAAACTGTACACCAGGTTGCCCATTTTGTCTCTAATTCTAAGCCATGGTACATTGTCACTGGTTCGCTGACAGCCATCTGCTCAGACCTCATTTGATCTTCCCATTCAGTCACAGTTCAAGTCAGGGGACAAAATATATATAAGGGAGGGAAAATGTTAGGCCGTTTTTCTCGTAGAGAAAATAAATATTATTAAATATGATTTAAATATTCTTTCTCACAAGATACATATTAAAAAGATACTGAAATCATGAAGATATTCTATTTTCATGAAATGGAGAATTTTAGACACTTATACTACTGTGACTACAGTTACAGACGCATTGTCTAATATATTTCTATATCTGTATATCTTACATATACATAATTTATAAATATATAAATACACCATTACAGCACTTATAAATATATGTATTTAGTAGCCCTTTTGTTGCAAGTTTATGGTGAACAAATGTGTGTAACATACAATAACTATTTCAATGTGCCAGAACAAAAAGATACAGTTAAAATTGACACAGAATGTTCAGAATACTCCTTCATGGTCTTACATGTAACAGAAGAGTTTCTTGACTCAGTGCATAGGAAACACAAATCTGTATTACTACACAAATACATAATTCAATTTCCCAGCTTATTAGGCTTTTTTTTTCCCCCCCAATATTTCTCAGTTATTTAGCTAATTCATGCCTCAAAATACTGACTATATGGAAATGAAATAGAGATAACCTTTTCTATTCTATAGAAAGTTGGGAGACAGGGTTGTGAAAAATACGTTTTATGTAACACATACAAGTAAAATCGTAAATGTGAATGGTACATGTAGCTAAAACATTGGTTTTAAGACCAGCATGGATTTATGGAGGGGAAATTGTGCTTAGCCAACCTGATATCCTTCTGCGATGAGGTGGCTGGCTTGGTGGACGAGGGGCGAAGAGTGGATGTTATTTATCTAAACTTTATTAAGGCTTTTGATGCTGTCTCTGTAATATCCTCATAGAAAAGCTGATAAAATATGGGTTAGGTAAGTGGACAGCGAGATAGATTGGAAACTGAATGGACAGGCCCAGATGGTTGTGATCAGTGGCATAAAGCCCATCTGGATGCAGGTCACTAGTGACGTACCCAGGGGTCAGTACTGGATCCGATCTGTGTAACCTCTTCGTTAATGACCTGGATGATAGAGCAAAGTGCACCCTCAGCAAGTTTGCAGGCAGTACAAAATCGGACAAAGTGGCTGATATGCCAGAGAGCCATGCTGCCATCCAGAGGGATCTTGGCAGGCTGGAGGAATGGGCTAGCAAGAACCTCATGAAGTTCAACAAAGGCAAGTGTGAAGTCCCACACCTGGGGAGGAACGGCCCCATGCACCAGTACAGACAGGCGTCAAATGGCTGGAAAGCAGTTTTGCAGAGAAGGACCTGGGTGTCCTGGTGGACAATGAGTTGGGCATGAGCCAGCAATGAGGCAAAAAAGGCAAATGGGCTGCATTAGTTAGAGTGTCATCAGCAGGTTGAGGGAGGTGATCCTTCCCTGTCTGCTCAGCAGCGATGAGAGCATACCTGAAGATCTGTGCCCAGTTCTGGGATCCTCAGTACAAGAGAGAGATGGACATGTTGGAGCATGTCCAGGAAATGGCTGGGAGGATGATCAAGGACTTGGAGCATCTGTCCTACAAGTAGAGGCTGAGAGGGCTGGGATTGCTTAGCCTTGGGAAGAGAAGTCTCAGGGAGACTTTATCAATGTGTATAAATATGTGTGTGTCAGGGGGTGATACAGAAGATAGAGCCAAACTTTTCTCAGTGGTATCCCGTGACAGGACAAGAGGTAATGGGCACGAATTGCTATACAGGAAATTCCATTTAAACATAAGAAAAACTTTTTTTGTTGTGAGGGTGGTCAAACAGTGTAATATGTTGCCTAGAGAGTCTGTAGAGTCTGTGTCCTTAGAGATACTGAAAGTTCAGCTGCTGAGTCCTGGGCAACCTGCTCTAGTGACCCTGCCTGAGCAGGGGCTTGGATTAGATAAGCTCAGGAAGTGTGGGCTAGATGAATGGGCAGTGAGGTGGATTGAGAACTGGCTGAATGGCAGAACTCAGAGGGTTGTCATCAGTGGCGCTGAGTCTAGTTGGAGGCCTGTAACTAGTGGTGTCCCCCA